TTTTTTTAAATTATAAATATATATTTTCTTACTCCTGCCTCCAAAAGATGGATATCTTAATTTGTTCAAGTTAAAAACAACATTTATTGTACTATTCCATATAACCTTATATTCACTAATTCCAGTTTTTGGCCAATGCTCTAAAAACTGGGTAATTGCCTCATATAAAAGGGGTTATCACAAAGGAAAAGAAACACACATAGACCTCTGACTAACAAGTGGACTATTAATTTGAGACCTGAAAAAAAAGTCAAAAGTCGGCTTAGGAGACTGTCAAAATGTTATGGAGGAGTATTTTCTTTTCGTATTTGTTCATTGATTGGAGTATTCAAACGTTGCAGCTTGAGGAGGATGAGGATTTTGTTGACGTGGTCAACCCATGTACAAAGATTGAGACATTAGCACTTGGAGAATCGGACATGAGGAACTTGAAGCGTGGGGACGTGATACAGCTGGAGAGAAAAGGGTACTACAGATGTGATGTACCTTTTGTACGGTCCTCAAAGCCCATAGTTTTGTTTGCCATACCAGACGGCAAGCAGCAAACTGTAGCAAAGTAAGAACTCACTCACCTTACCTTGGTTGTCTTGGGAGTTGGAAATATTGTTCTTCGGATCAGTTGAATTTTTGCATCCTTCCATTTGATGCCTATTTTAGTATGGTTTTGACATTTTTAGTTCTCTCTCGAGATTTTATTCGATGTTTTTTGTGGTCTCTTGTGAAATGTTATTCGCTCTGGACTTGATTTTGATAGCTGAAGAAGAAAAAGAAGTGGCAAATTTAATCTGGCATTGTGAGGGCGGCAGTAGCTTGTCTTAATTTTCAGGCCTTGGTTTATCTCACAAGTCTTTTAAATTGCTTACAATGTAAGTGTTGCGTTTTGATTCTTATATTGCATAGTGTAGATAGTATTGCATTTTATTTTATACAAATATTACATATATTTGTATATGACCAAAACACATTAAGTTAAATAAAAGATTTTCTGTTAAATTTTTTAATCCAAATTCCAAACAAAGGGAAAGTAATGGAGACGAGACCGCGATTTTGTTTCTAAATAAATATGATAGGCTTCGTATTTAGATTATTTATTTCCTATTAGTATTATTCCCTTTTATTTTATTACCTTAGTTATTTTATTGTAGTTGGTAAGTAAATAAATATCTAGCCTAGCTTGTTAGGCAAGATAAGTAGGACTCTATATATTTATCTCATCTCTACCGTAGTCAGGTGGTTGAATTTGAAGAAGATTTCTGATATTTGAGTTTTGTGTTTTATCGAGAGAGTATCTCGTTTTATTATTCCCATTCGTTCACGCTTCCCTACATCAGAAAGGCTACAATCCCGTGGGGAAATAGTTCCTCAATTCAATATAAGTCATTAGATCTTTAAGTTTTGATATGGACCCTTAGATATAGTCAAGCAAAAGAGACGTGACAGTTTCTTATTGGAATTTTATATAGAACGGTGCACAGGCACACACTCGGTGGTTCAGCTCCAACGGGTAAAGCCCGGTCTCGCTACGAAGGCCTGGACCGTAGCATTTTCCCCAAACAGTAACATTGAGTATTATTACTTAATGTATCAATCATATATTGAACGGTTTACGTATCGTAAGTATAAAAATTAATATTAGTATTCGAATTTTTTTTATACAAATCAATATTCCTTCATTACTTTAATTTATACAATTTATTATTATTGTCTCGTGCATTGCATGAGTTACGTACTAGTAAGGACGGAAAGAATAGGTTTGCATGTTAGCAGTGAAAGATTTTATTTTTCTTACTGATGGGTTTGGAAACTAGATGTGATGTAGCTATTGAAATTAAAGACTTGAGCGTAGTAATTTAACCCAATATATACAAGTAGAAATACAAGTTTGTTGTTCGGTCAATGGTTATTTGTTAAAGAAAAAATCATATTTTTAACAATCATATTTTGTTAATAGCTTGCATAGTTTAAAATGTCCATATCGTGTCGCCACTGCTTGAGGCGACCCTGTTCACGAGGCGCTTGCTTCAGGTTGTCTCGGCTCGCTTTTTCGCGTGTCGCGCAAAGGGGCGTCTCGGCAACCTCCAATATATTTTTGTTAAAAAATAAAAAATAAAAGCGTGATCCTCTCCCACACGCCCAGAACTAGGTTTCCTCGGACAGAAAAATAAATAAAAAATAAAAAAAATAAAATTGTGGAGACAGGCTCTTCTTAAGTGGTGCCAAACTTTATGTATTATTTTTACTTTCTTAAGTGGTGTTTGTGCTATGACTTGTTTCTTGTTGCTTATTCCTATTATTTAACTACGTGTGCCAAACTTTATGTATTGTTCCTACTTTTTCAAGTGGAGTTTATGCTATGGACTTGTGTTTAATTTTGTGTTCTTGCCTTTCTGGAAAATATTCTATGTTATTTTTATCATTTGAACATAAATATATAATTGCACAATCTAAATAATATTGTCTTTTTCAACATTTTGGTGACATGTCTACCAGGCCTCGTGGCTAGGCCATGGGCCAATCGTCTCACAATTCGCCATTTAAAACTATGATAGCATGCGATAACGCCTTTATGATAAGTAAATGTAGTGTCCCTTGGATCAGTTTTGATATATGTTCACTTGAATGTCCACGCTTTATTGACGTAACATAAAAAGACTAAGCCGGGGAAACCTTCAAGATCGCAAGTGTTAATTAAAAGACGCATGAACTTTTGTTGGGGCTCTGCTGGCTTTCTTTCTAGTTTGTTCTGTTTTTCTGTTGTTTTTTCTTTGCTGTTTTAGTCAGTTTTTGAGATTATTGTTCCCCTCTTCTGTTTCAATAGCCTGAGTTTATTAGTTGTCTGTGTCTCTTGTGCGGGTTTGTTTACCCTTTTTACTTGCCTACATTGTTTATAAAAGCTACTTCACTTAATAAAGAAGGATTAGTTGCATAAACGTGATAGATTACATTAGTGTAGTTTAGTTGCCACTTCTGTATGGGTCGATACTATGGTCTATTTTTTTAGCTTGTTCTGTTGTAAATTAAACAAAGAATGTTATTGTCATCTGATGCCATACTATATATACTTTTTGATGTAGCGCAGCGTTAAACGAAAGGGTAAGAAGACATAAAATGTCAAAATATGATATTTTTATTCAAGATAGCCGATCGGCTTCTATGCAAAAGGGACAATATATAGAGTCAAAAATAGTTTAAATCCCTGTCTTGCCAAACAAGTAAAATCCAAATAATAATAGATATGCATTTACTGACTAGAAAAGGGAAATAAAGAATAGTGATAAAATAACTAGGAAATAAATAATTAAACTAAGGATTGGATGGTAGACGATTATAATTCTCTATAATGCCAACGCAATCTCGTCTCCACCACTTTTGGTCTCTGCATAGTTCAATTCAGATTGTCGATTGCTAGCCTTGTTTGGCAATCAGTGGTTAGCGGTTAGCTGTTACCGGTCATATCATCTGTTTTGACCAGCGAATTGTATTAGTTGTTTTGACCGACGGATTGTATTAGTGGATTGTGTTAAAGCATTTGGTAAAATTAATTGATTGATGTTAATAATATGAATAAAATAACTAATGTGAGTAAATATAAATACTCTAATAATAATAATAATAATAATAATAATAATAATAATAATAATAATAATAATAATAATAATAAATAGTTTATTAAAAATATATATTAAGAATTATAAAAGAACTTAATTAATTTCGTGTATATGTATAAATATTTATATATATTTCCTCCATGTATAATTATATACATAAATATATATTATAAATTAGATGTGTCTATTTTTTTTTCACTTTTTGGTAAATTAGTTGTTTTCTAGTAGTTGGTCACGTAAAAAAAATGATGGTATTATCATATTTAAGTTTTTATTTTTATAAAATTATTTTATAAAAAAATTAATAAATAACTTTTTTTTTTAATAAAAAAATATAGCTCAAGATATCTTGGACATATTTTCTTGTTACTGTATTTTTTTATTTGAAAAACTGATCCAAAAATGCTGCAAAATGCAGCGTTTTGATTTATGGCGTCACATCTCATTCTGCTGACTTCAAATGATGTCTACCAAACATCACACCACTAAATGCAAATGCTTAATTGGCTAATTAAACTTGGAGAAAAAACTTAGGAGCTAAATTGCAGTTTTGTTGTATTGTGAAGCACATAAATGAAAAGGAATATGAGTAATTATTTCATCTGTCCAAATATTATATTGGAAAATACAGAAAATCAACCACTTAACACAATAAAACCAGATCAACAACCATCAATTTAAAATAAAAAAAAAAAAGAATGTTAAAAGTGTGTCTATTTCTTGGGCGCGAGCCTGTCCTTGATCTTTTGAACCTCCTTGGTCCCGACCTGGAACGCCTGCGTAAGGACATGGTCCGGCACTTCCGGACTGGCGGCAAACAGTGTGGCCGCAATCGACTGTGTGCCCGGCAGCTGGCTGTTGAAGGCGGAGATGACGGCCGCTGGTTCCTGACGGTTGTTCTTCTGGTAGTGGACGAGCCCCTTTGGAAAGGCAAACGCGTCCCCTTTCTTGATGGTTTTTGCCACTAGGACGTTGGCCGTTGTGATGAAGCCCACATCGAGCTCCCCATAAAGGACGAAGACGATCTCGGTGGCGCGCGGGTGGGTGTGAGGGGGGTTGAGGCCCCCCGGGGCGTAGTCGATCCGGGAGAGGGAGACGCCTAGGGTGTTGAGGCCCGGGATCACTTGGACGTTGGCCCCCGTGACTCTCGACCCCATCGTGTTGTTGGTGGCGCCTGGACTCGCGAGGATGCTCGAGAAGAAGTCGTCGGGACTTGCGGAGTTTGTGCACGGGTACCCGTTGACCCGCACGCCTGTTTTTTTTGCATTTTATAGTTTGTGGTCAGGTCTAATGAAACATGCTGATCATAGTACAGTTTAACTCCGAAAGATATCGGACAACGAAGCGCAACTTGATGGTAAGATGCTTCACCGATAGATCATGGTTTGAGTCATCGAAGAAAGAAAGTGAGAACACTATTGATCTTCTTCCTTTTAGTAGTAACTCGAAATATCAAACATTTACTTTCATAATTGGACGAATGTACACACATACACCCATATAGGTCTGTGTTGATGAAAAACCAGGTGACTTGCACTGTTATTGTGTGTAGAGTGAAATATATCCCATATGAGAAAAATATTGTTCGTAGTTTTTCATTCACATGAAGATTGATGTTAGGCAAGACAAGCTTAACTGTTAGACAATTATATTTTTTTTTAACAAATATGCATGTTTATAATATAAACAATGACATACTTTACAAAACAATATAAATAAAAGTGTGACATTTTACCATATAAATAGTTATACATTTCTATTAATAATATGTAATGGGTTGATATACAAGTTGTTACTTGTTAGGGATTAGTAATAAAGGGAAATGCTACCATCCCGTTACGGACCATCCCGTCGGCTGTTTTAACCGTTGGATCATCCATCTTATCTAACTACACGTAGATCTAACGGTTAAAACAACCGACGGGATGGTACCGTAACGAAACCGTAGTATCTCCCAGTAATAAATACCACATGGTTTGACAGTTGTGGTTGCAGTTTTCTCATAAAACAGATTAATTAAAGTAGTAATATTAATAATGCACACTGACCCAAATAAATGGATATTTCAGGGTAGGAAGGTTGCTGGCCTAATTTACCTGCTACTTGCTACACAAATAAATATATTAATAAAAATATTGACACTCTTACACACGAAAACTAAATGTTATTACCACATTTGTATCAGTTAAATTCTATACTACAGTGGTATGAAAATAGGGAAGATAGCTACTTAAGTCTGAGTTTGTACTCTTTAGATCAGCTATCTATCTCTAACAGTTACATGATAATTTAAATTCTAACAGTACAAATTTCGACGGAATGATTTTGACCGACCTTATTATTTATGTGAAAATAGATGTTTTTTTTTTTTT